GAAACCATTCATTTTACTCTCTCTTCTAGAGAGAGAGAGAGAGAGAGAGAGAGAGAGAGAGAGAGAGAGAGAGAGAGAGATGCTGCCCTTTGAAAGAGACAGAGAGAGAGGGAGCCCCTTCCCCTAAAAAATAATATACATACACAGAGAGTGAGAGAGACCCCAAATCTCTACCCACCTCCACCACACCTACACCCCCCCCTCCCCCCACCCTCTTCCGTTTCCACCACCTCCTCCGTGCTGTACTGCTGTCGGATGCCAACGTCTCTCTCTTCCCCCGCCTTCCGCACGTTCTTAAAGAAAATTTCTTTGGCAGGCGAAGCTGAAACAGGTCATCTACACAAGAATGATTAAGCAGAGAGTTTGTCTGCTGTGCAAAGTAATGTGCGGGGGGAAATATAGGAAAGTACCAGCACATAATAGAGCAGTTGAAGATGCTTCATGTGTGTTTTTCTGAAATTTTCCTTTCTTTTTCTGGGGGCAAAACTGCAACATGTCATCTATTTAGTTTGTGGTTCCAGTATCGATTGGTTTTAAAATGTCAGTGCTCGGTGTACATCGCCTTAGGGCCTCGCCACACAGGCTGTCGAAATGTGCAAAACGACAAAAATGGGCAGGTGCATCTGGCCATGTTCTAGCGGGAAGTGCATTATCATTTTGCACATTTCGACAGCCTGTGTGGCGAGGCCCTAGATGTGGTGGAGCTTCTATTGTTTTGGCTCATTGGCAAGAGGGGACTTGGACCGTCCAGTGTTTGAGCTCCAGAGAGAAGCAGAGCATGGTCATTGGTCGCTGATTGTTCAGGCAATGAATGAATTGCTGCGCAGGTAGCCGTACCGAGTCACCTCTGGATTGGCGAACAAGATTGAAAGTATTGGCTGGTGCAGCCTCTGGGGTATGTTTTGTTTTCTAAATCCTTTTCTCGTGGAATCGTAACAACAGTATGAGGATTAAACCTTTAATGCATCGCATCAGATGTCCTTGTCTTGCTCCTCCTTGTCATGGGGCTTTTCCATCCAGTCAATTTCTATTTGTACCCCTACGGCCCGGCAGTGAGGCTGGACCAGTTTCAGGCCATCGGCCTGACCCTGGTGCGGTACCAGGTTGTCCCGTACCTGGACCTAGGCCGGTATATCACTTCGGCCTAGGCCCAGGGCGGGAGGTTCATTCATTCAGTGTTCATGCATCCATTGGCCGGACTGGACCTTCACTCAGCTGCTGCTTCTTGTGTGTGTCCATCTCCTCTCTCTCTCTCTCTCTCTCTCTCACCATCTCCGCATGTGCCCTCCGCACGTGCGTCACACTTGTGTTCCTCTCTGTCAATCCGTCCGTCCATGTTCTGTTGATCTGCATATCCGTATATCCATCTATCCATCCCATCCATCCATCCATATCTTCCGCTTGTCTCCCCACTCACCCGCCCACCCGCTGACCTGCCTGTGCAAGCATCCGTCCAGAGTTTACTTTGCTGTGGCCCCAGGACCTGCCAGGAATTTCTAGGCCATAACAGTTGTAGATCCATTGTCATTCCTTAACACCATGGGAAGTCTCAACCATTCATCCAACTTAGATCGTATTAAAGTTAATAATTAAACCTAAAAAATAAAATAAAATGAAAAACTAAAAATAAAAATAAAAATAAAAATTGTATTCAAGTTTCAACCTATCAGTGCATGCAATTTCATCGACAACCAAAACCACTCCATTAATTTCCTCCTGTAACTGTGGTTTTACGTAATTCCTTTTTCACCATATTTAGTATCTAGTATCTACTATCTGCTGCCAATGCCATATATAATTCCTCAATGGCACAAATTTCATGTGGTGTCCATTTGTGGGGACGCTTGGGCTCAAATGACCGAATTGACAAACTTCTTGAGTCGCACAATCAAAGAGACTCGGGCCATACTCACACTACGGTAGGGCTTCTTGACTGAATCTAGCGTGAAGCCCGGGACGGTGGCTGGATGCAACCCAGAAAGCCCTACCCTGAGTATACCTCCGAGTCAATGCCAATCATCTTGTTGTTGTGCTTCCACATGTCATGTTGTGCCTCTCGATCACAGGGAAGGTAATATCAATGCTGGGTGGGTGTCATGAACTCGGGATCATAAACTTGTTTTGATCAGAAAGAAACTACACTTGATCTTATAGCCAAAAGGTTGCGAAAACTACTCTTCCATCGCACTTCAGTTCTGCTCGTGTCTATTGATGCTGTGCTGGTTCCAATCAAGCCTGGTTATTTTAGTGTCCCTGACTTTGACTGCGTCATTCTTTTTAGGACTATCTGCCTAGGTGGACTGTGAAAAGTGGTAATTGCATAGTGAACCAAATACAGTTCAAGGTCGTACCGTAGATCAGACGGTGTGGAGAATGCCCATGTGTAAGGTTGTGCTGCTGCGTGCAAGAGGGTCTCGAGTGCTGTCATGAACCTGGGCGCCTGAGTGAGATATATGCTGCAACCATGCATCTGTGATATGGCTTCTTTTTTTAACACTCCAATGATGCCATCATGGTTGCGGTGGCGAAGACATCTGGCTGTAACAGGCTGTTAGGATGTGGTTGATCCTCCACAGCGGCAATTACTGTCAGATTCATTGTTCTGTTTGCAGAGGCGAAGACCATATGGCTGCTAGACTGCAACCAGAGCAATGAATTTGACAGAGATTGCCAGTTAGATTCCATGCAGTGTTGCAGATAGGGTCTAATGCTAGAGCCACTACCCTGATCCTTCCAGTCAGGTTGCATTATGATCAGGTGTTTTTTTTTTTTTTAAGATCAAGTCTATCCAGCGTGAAGGTGCTTCCATTCTCTGCTTGCATGTGTTGTCGAGCTGCAGAATGGCATCTGTGTTTTGATCTCGTTCAAGTTTCCAGGTCGAGTACCTCCACAGTGGCAATCTCTGTCAGATTTATTGTGCCACGGGGGATCCATTGCGACCAGCTTGAAGCGAAGGTAGCCAGTTTCGGATGAGAAGGCTGTGCGCTGTTTCCCTCATCTACCCGGCACGACTGTGGGCCCATTCTCTTTTTTTTTTTTTTTTTTTTTTGGGTGTAGCCCCTTCTCTGCTTGCATGTTCGTCTAACTTTGGTTCGGATCTGGTTTGATCTCATTCGGATTGCCAGATCGAGTTCCTCCACGGCGGCGATTACCGTCAAATTTGTTACTCTGTCTCGCCTTTGATCCATTGCGACATCAAATCTTCGAACATCCTCCTTGGCGACCAGTTTGAAGCAAAGGTAGCCGATTTTGGTTATTTCAAGCCCAAGCTGTTCGGCGACAAGTTCCATTCTGATCTGAGGTACTTTCAAGGTAAGCACACCTATCTTTCGAAAATCTTTGCCACGTGTCCCAAGGAGGCCATGACATGACGGTTATATGATTGCTAGACTACCAGTTCCCTGCACCTTGCCTCCATTGGGCCACACATTTCTGTTTGCACCTTTTCGCCAACCCTAATCACAAAATTGCACACCATGTGGGGATCGTGAATCCAATTGTCAAAGTGCTCATCAATAATGATGAATGACTGGGTGGCCTCAGAGGACACCTGATGATTGCAGTAACATGAAAAAAACAAAAATGTTTGTCACTTCTGACTCTTCTGAGTCTGTGCTGACACATTTTTGGATACAGTGTCTGCGGCACATTGCCGCAGCCTTTCTTTTGTTTCAGGTAAAGAAAGGTGAGTGCAAGAGCAGTGGAATCTCAATGTCTTGAAGCTGACTTCGCATGATAGTGGGGGATATAGTAAGTATGAGGGAAGAAGAAGACACATCGATTCTTCATTCAATAGGGATATTCATGCCTATCTTGTTTAGGTCTCCTACCCACATCCTGTTTCCGACCTTTGGCAATAGCATGAATATCTTAAGAGTACCATACGAAACCCCCACAAACACATGATGCACTCGTAGCCAAAAAATCACAACATTGAGGAGCCTGCTAACGACATCCAACCATTCCGTTTTGAGTAATAATATACAAAAGAACACAGACAATCCAGTTAGAGGTTCAGAACAGAGCAGACAGGGAAAGAGAGAAGGAGGAGAGAGGGGGGGGGGGGGGGGGGGGGGGGGGGGGGGGGGGGGGGGGGGGGGGGGGGGGGGGAAGTTGCGAGGGAAGGTAGAAGAAGTAGTGGAGGGAGTGATGGACAGAGAAAGAAAGAGTAGAAATGAGACAGTCGAAGGGGAAAGATAGCACAATAAGACCGAGACACTCAAAGGGTTGGCAGAAGAGGGATGGAGGAAGGGGAGATATATGCGGGACACTGTTTCATGTACATCCAACCAAGCAATCCAAACGTGATTCATAAAGTACATCATGGAGAACTCCTGTATGCTATTGCCAGGTTAAACATGAAGAGAGAGAGAGAGAGAGAGAGAGAGAGAGAGAGAGAGAGAGGATGACCTTGGCAGCCCTAGCATCGCTAGAAGATGTCTGAATCGCCCAACATGAAGCTTGCATCAGCCATGCCAAATATGTTTCCACCAGCGCCGATTACTGATCATCTTCAGGGGCGACCACGAGGGGGCAAGAGGACAAGTATTGTCCGGAGACAGCGGTATAAATAGGAAACCGCCATGCTCTCCACCACGTCCACAGTAAGCACAAGAAGAAGGCAAAGGTACCTAGCTTCGGCATCAACCCAGGAGCAATGACCTGCAGGCATAAGATTGTCATTGTCATCACCGTAGTACTCCCCGTGATGCTCGCTTGATTAAACATGGTGTGACTGACTACAGCACGGTCATTAAGCACTGTCATGTGCCGTACCACTTTCTGCATGGAGGTATCACTCAACGATCTTCGTCGTGGTTCTCTGTGTCAGGGTCCTGGAGACATCAAGTTCTCCAGGCTGCTTTCTGGGATGATGTCACACAATGAACGCTCTGGCGTTTAGGTTAGGGATAAGAGTTATCGTACTTTACGGAGGTGATTATTGGATTTCCCGCTGTGTCTTGCCCCTTTTTTTCTGCGCATGCATAGGTCTCATTTCCCTGTCTGAGCATTTGTTTTATAAACGATGTCTTTCATGCGTTTTGTGTCTGTGTAAAATCCATAATGATACGAATTGCGATAAGACTTAGGGCTGTAAGCCCTTAGGGGTCTCCGTCTAGGAAAGGTCCAGGGGACCTAGTGTGGTCACTCTGAGCTTCGAGTAGCTGACCTGCGCCTGATACCCTGCCTCTACAACAACCTGGGTGTTTCAACAAAAAAAAGAAAAACAAGAAAAAGCAGGCCGCTAACCACTCTCTGATTGCTATTTTTAGTATTTTCTTATTTCTCTACCTTGTGATGTATCTGCTGCATGTCTGTGAAACAGTAATGTGTGTCTGGGGCGCAGAGAATCAACCTTTTTCTCCATGAGGAGAAAGAATTGTGTAGGCTGCATTTAGCATTTCATTTCTGTCATTCAGTATGTACTATGTTTTAATGATCTGCGCAGGGTATTTGGATCCGGAGTACTTGTCGAATGACCAGAAGAACGAGCTGGACAAGAAGAGCGATGTATTCAGCTTTGGGGTTGTAATTTTGGAGACAGTCACCGGAAGGCCACCGATTGACACGTTTGGTGGCCACGAACCAATGACAATTGCACATTGGGTGAGTGAAATTCTGTTCCTCGTTCAACGGTTACATAGAAATGACCATTCACCTTGCTCGCGATCAACTTCATCAACGTGGCGGGCCTTGTACGTGACACGGTGACGGGGGAGTTAAAAGAAGAATGAGAAAAATGAATGGTTTCAATGTGCCCCTTGTGTTGGTCTTGTTTTTTTTTTTTTTTTTTTTTTTTTTTTTTTTTTTTTTGGGAAAATTTGTCTGGCGCCCCTGTAATTTGCGTTATTTCCTGTCATGCCCCTCCGACGGCCGATTTACCCTGTTGCGCCCCTGGGCCAAAAAATATTTTCTGCAGGCCCTTGTCGGTAGCGACCACAACTTTCCAGGACGCCCTCCTTGGACTGAGGGTCGGGCCCTGTGCCATATGGCCTCATGCCGGGCAGCCATCTTTCTGCAATGCCCCCGCAGCCGTGAGGCACCACAAATTCGCATTTCCATCGGGCCCTGTGACATATCGTCCGCTTCCCTGCAAGTGTGTGTGTGTGCTGTCTCTTATACACATCTAGATGTGTATAAGAGACAGCTGCGCGCCTATGGCTGGTTGGTGGACTGTACAACGTTTCAGCCCTCTCTCTCTCTCTCTCTCTCTCTCTCTCTCTCGCGCGCGCGCGCTCGCGGTTGGTTTATCAAAGTTCCGAAGCGTATGGTCATGATGGTCGTGTCTAAAATGACAGTCATTATAGTTGCATTTTGGGCAACTGTCATTGTACACATGGCCATCATGACCGTACGTTTCGGAACTTTGATAAACGTACTGCGGGAGAGAGAGAGAGAGAGAGAGAGAGAGAGAGAGGGCTGGAACGTTGTACAGTCCACCAACCAGCCATAGGCGCGCCGCGCCATCACAACACCCCTCTCCTCCTTCATCATCTTCTTCCATAGATCGTAACCTTCGGATGAGACGAGATACTGACTTGCAAGAGCCAACGCCCGCCCCATGATTTTCGTCCCAGACTTCTTCTTTCCCGCCTTCGCATTCATCGAGGTCGCGGTCGTTGACTCAGACTGTCCATCACTAACATCCTTTCGTTTGTCGGAAGAGGGAGCCGCCCCTGTATCTGGGAAAGCAGTAGAAGATGTGGCAGTTGTGGACGACTTGGCAGCAGATGCCCTCTTGGCAGCAGATGCCGTGACAGCAGCTGATGAGGCAGCAGACGATGACATAGCAGCAAATGACTTGGTAGCAAATGGATTGGCAGCAGATGATGTGGCATAAGACGACGTGGCAGCAGATGATGTAGCAGCAAATGGCGTAGTAGCAAATGGCTTGGTAGCAAATGGACTGCCAGCAGATGACATAGCAGAAGATGACGTGGCGGCAGATGACATAGCAGCAAATGGCTTGGCAGCAAATGGTACCGGTAGGGGCATCTCGAAAATTTTCCTGCTTGCTTTTAACGGCCATCCGGTAGGGGCATCCCGCAAATTAGGGACCGGTACCAGTAGGGGCGTAATGAAAAGATTTGAGGCCCAAACGACACGGGGGTCTTATGGAAAATTTGAACCCTGCTCAGAGGGGCGCGACGGGGTAAATCGGCCGTTGGAGGGGCGCGACGCGAAATAACGCAAATTACAGGGGCGCCAGACAAATTTTCCCAATTTTTTTTTACCGTTTGTTTCGCACTCGAACTGCTCTCTTTTTTAGTTCATAGATATGTGACAATGTATGCCATGATGTAGCTGGTTATCGTTTCCTAATGATGAGGATTGCATTTATCACTGTGGTGCATTTCCCATCAACCAGTACAAACCCCCGATCAGTGGCTGGCAGTGGGTGCAGCTGCTGCAGGCAGACTCGATTCAGAACTTTTAGTCCTCTCTCTTCTTTCCTCTCTCCTGTTTAACAAAGCGTCCAAGCCCCTCAAATCTGAAGCAGCCCCACAGCTGTCACTCTATGGCAATTGCCAAACGCGAACTCTCACATTTTGGTGATGATGATCAGATGATCAATAAACTGCAAAAAGTGAAAAGGTGATAAGCAACTGGACTGTTGCCGCCCAGAATAGAAGGGGTGGAGTGTGTTGGGTTTTTGGGGGGGAGGGGTGGGGAGGGGGGGAGAGAAAGAAACAAGAACATCCAGCATTGTGTGTATGAGTTTTTCAAATTTATCTGCAGTGTGTTTGTCACATGCCTATCAGCAGATATACGCATGGTGCGGACCCAAGAAGCACATAATATAACGCAGTGGAAGTCCGAGATAAACTGATCTGACTCATGGCAACTAGGGAGCAAAAAATGCACTCGTCATCCTCAACGTCAGCACCCACATGCCATGCCACGTAGGCGGCACTCCCAATGCCACGTCAGCAGTTTTCTCACTCTCTATGTCTCTCTCTCTCTCTCTCTGGCCGATCGTCCAGCACCACGTCAGCGCCTCAGCCAATGATGCTCTCGCCGGTCACTGATCGCCACCTCAGCAACAATGCACCACGTCAGCAATGTCGCCGGTCTTCTTCTTCAAGTCCACGTCATCACCTTCAATAGGTAGGTGTGCACGTGCATCGGTACAATGTCTAGACTCGCGATAAAAACTGCGCGCATTTATAAACGGGATATAGTCCATGCGTGGCAACCCCCTTGCTTACCATAGCACGTCATGGCGTGCATCAGCAGATCGCGACGAAGGAGGTATAGCTCTGATAGACTGATACCAAATTGTAATGAACCCAGTCTGGAAGGAAACTCGTCGATGTCGAAATACAAGATATCTCAGCGCTTGTCACTGTCTCCGATAATCATGAAATGTGATCTGAAGTACAATGTCTCGAAACCAGAGGACGAACCTGATAGTAGGGAGATAAGACTTAAGAGGGTGGAGGAGAAAGTATCCATCAATGTCATCGTAGATAGATCTCCCTCGTAACCCACTCCACCTTCGGGCATCTCCCCTCTTCCACGTCAGCAAACAGTATCCCAGAGACGAGCCTGACAGATCCGATCACAGCATAGTGCCACGTAGGCACAGATCTCGCATGAAGACGTCACAGCAGCGCGCACTGTCGACAGCCTCAATCAGGTAAGCTTCCCTTTCTCTCTCTCACAACCAATTTCACAGCCCTGATCACCCTCCTCGTTGATACCCCAATCTTCGTCGAAGACAGTGTGGCACGTGCCACGTCAGCAATCAAGTCTCCAGCTGGCACAAGAGCAGAGAGGCGCCAGCAAGCAATGCAGCAGTCTCGCGTCGTCGTCACACACAATGCCAGCGTCAAGCCAACGTCTAGCCAGCGTTCAGCCAGTGTCGTGCCAGTGTCCAGCCAGCGCCGTGCCAGCGTCGAGCAGCAAGTGCACAACTGTATGTCGATGACAGGGGCTGGGTCAATAAGTAGTGTAGTCACAAGTTCACCAGCCTCTGGTCTTGCAGATGCGAGGGCTCAGATTGACTTCCAGTCGATGGCCTGGATCTCATACAGTTGCAGACTTCCACTTGGACCAGATTCTAACTGGATACCTGCGTTCAGCCAATGTGTGTGTCTGATTGGCGGCCTGGACTGGGTCCGTGCAGACTTTGACTCCTGAGCCTCAATATTCCGAGTTACAGTCGGCTTTAGTCAACTGTCGGGCGCAGGGCCTCTGAAGCCTCGTTTTGGGTGCCTTGTTTGGTACAGTCTGGCGCAGGGCCTTGCTGTGGACTTGCTGTGGCCTGTGGCTGGCCCCTGTCCGACGACATTAGCATATTTGAGCGGGGTATTGCATTTAGGGAAAGTCGATGAAATTTAGGTCTTTGTAGCTGGTAGGTCTACGTGATGAGGTAGTGGAACGGGTAGATTGTTACAGCCTGTTGCACTCCCGACAGCCATGGATGAATCTTCGTGTTCTTTTGCCCGCACGCGAAAGGAAAAGGGGAAAAAAAAAATGCTTTCTGTACTGCAATGATGTCGGGCAGGGTAGTCTAGGAGGCCGTGCTCACAGTCTTTCTCTACAGAATGCATCTTACAGCAAACATGGTCACATTCTATTTTTCTTTTTTCTTCTTTGAAGTTTTTTCTTTTTTTTTTTAAGAAATAGTATGCTTTATTATATATGGAGCAAAAGGAAACATGGTCACATTCTGAAAGTTGTTGTTTTCTTTTTTTGCTTTCTCGTGTGTTTGTTACGAGTCCCCTGCCAACGAGGAAGGGAGGAATCCGTGATCTTCTCAAGCTGTGTTTCCTCAGAGGATTGCAACCCGGATCACACTGGCACTTAGACGAATGTATCCAGCCAAGTCAGAGGAGAAGAAAAATGAAGGGAAAGAACTGGCAAAGGTGAAGGAAGAGCCAGTAAGGGAAGAAGATAGAGGAAAGACACTGATGTAGGAAGAAGCAAGCGGGATGAGTAAAAGAAATCCCTGCCTGGAGAAGAGAGGGAATTTACGTAAGAGGAGAGAAATGTGAGGCTCAAGGCCTCGATCTGCCCTACTGGGCCCTATTTTCTGTACAGTCGGCCGCCCTAAGTGAAGGCAGGCTCGACCCAGGGCCTACAGGCCTATTTTGGTGTCGCCACGCAACTGGGTACATTCAGTCAGTTGCGCAATGCCAGTTGGTTGAGAACGCCCAAGCCCAGGCTGCCTCTTTTTGGATGTAACCGAGGCAGGCCCTGGGCCAGATTCGCATCATGGACCGAACACAGGCCGCGGGCAGTTGAACACGGGCAACCACCACAGGCCCAGAGTCTGATTCGTTTGGACTGGGGCTCAGCCTCCCTGGGCCTACCGGAAGCTTCTGGGTAGGGGCCCAGCGCAGCAGGCTGCACGCAAGGCAGGCAGGCCACTTCCATTTAGGAAAGGGCCTGCCCACACATTCGTCATTCGGGCACTGGCTGCATGCTGCGTAAGCGCTGCTGTGCTAACGCTGGCCAGCGCTCATGCGCTCACGGGTGAGCAGGATGAGCAGGCAGCCATAGCCGAGCTGCGCTGCTGTTAGCTGGATGGGGCGCATGGTGGTCCTTGGGTGCATGTGGCATCTGTGAGTTGGGGATCGAGGTTATGAGTGAGGAGAGAGACATACCCGGTGCTTGAACGGCATTGGCCGAGATCTGCTCGTACTTCGGGGAGTTGTTGACGTCATCAGCGGCATTGTAGATAGACTAGATAGGATCTGCCATTTGTAGTTTGGGCGCAGAGCGCCAGATAGGATATCGACATTGGTTCTTTGTTGATGATGATGAGACTATTCAAACATTGTCACATATGAGCTTTTGCTGTGCTCTTATCTGGTGGGACTCGTGATGCAATTCTGCTTTTGGTTTGAGGTCACGACTATCTGGTCTCATGTGTATGATGCTGCTTGGTTTTTGAAGTTCCCTATCGCTCAATTTCCTTGCAGAAAGGGGATGGAGGGCAGAGTGAAGGTAGAGCTGACACGACACTTGATGGATGCTGCTTACGGGCCTGAACCGCGAGGTGAGGTAGAAGAGAGGATGGCGGAGGATAGCAGTTAGGCTGATGATCATACCAATGATCTGACGGAGAAATTGCAACAGGCTTGGAAGGGGAGGGAAGAATGGAGCAGCAGTAGAAAAGATGGCTGAGGTTAAAGCGTTGTGTGCCATCCTTAGAACGAAAATCGCAGTGGTAGAGATGGTAGGAGATGCTGCCATAGGCACCATATCCTTGGACAATGCAGGAGAGCAGAAAGCATTGACGCCCTGCGCGCAGAAGTCTGCAAGCTGCATAAGTAGCAGAGGAGGGAGACCTCAAGACTGTTTGAAGGCCTAGGCAAGCGGCTTGCTGGTTCGCTTGTAGAAAAGCGGTTCGAACGGTTCACCGGTTCCACCGTATGCTAAGTCTTTAGAAAGGTTGATGAAGGCCAACGAGGCCTTCGTGGAAGTGGAGGAGGAGGTAGAGGAGGTGGAGATGGAGATGGCAATGTTGGAGCAAAGGGGAGAGGACCCACTGGCAGAGGAGAAGACAGGCAACAGGGATTCACTGGACAGAATGACATTGAAGCTCCCCTTTATGTATCATCATGGGAGAAAGAATGAAGACCTGCTTGGTTAGGATCCCACAGCCTGAACCTTCATGTACGTGCAGATGCTTGAGGAGGAGGATAAGATTGTGGCCGTTAGTATGGCGATGATGCGGGACATGCTAACTTGGCTATGATCACAGGCACAGGTGGCCGGGTCGAGAGCTGTTTCATAGCCTACTCCCTAAACACCTATTTTGAGGACTTTACGAGGGCGCTTAAGGAACGATTTGCCAGGTCCCCAACCATGACGTTACAAACAGGTCCCCCCCAACCATGACGTCACAAGTTGGCTGGGGCGATGTACTGGTGGCTGACAGCTACAAACAGGTCCCCAACCATGACGTCACAAATTCCCAGGTCCTCCATCACTTTGCCCCGGCCCTCCTGACGCAATTAGGAACAATTTAGCCGTAGAGGCTACACAGAAGAGATGAGCTTTGTTCTCCTGGAGTTGCCATCTGACCCAACCCACGCAATTTTTTTCTGGCACAGCCAACACTCGCCCGAAAAACAAAGTTTGCCCCAAGGTGACCCAGTCGCCGAAGTATTTTCCCAAATTTCGCTGCCGCACCCGGTCCATCCGCCACCTTGAAAAAGATCTTCACCCCAACCCACCTGCACCCACGAGAACATCCGCACCATAACATGGCACTACAACATCACGAGACAAAACAAGGTGATGAGCGGGACATGACATGGAGAGAGAGAGACAGACACACACACACACACACACACACACACACACACACACACACA